GACGACTAGCGCAGATAGCCCTCGTGTAGCTTTGCGCGAAATTCAAAGCACAAACACACACCTACAACGTAGTTCACTCTGAGTCAGTGTTTGACTTACCGATCAATTTAAAAGAGACCGAGGTTTAAGTTATAAAAAAAAACTGATCTTTTATAATATGTGTGACGAATTATAAAAGTAGCCGCCATGAAATATTTCCAGTTAGTATTTTCGTCGTTTATTGCCCCCACCCTGGAGTATCAGCAGTAAACTTAAGGGTTTATAACGCCAAAGTTTTAAATTACTTCTTGTACCATTGTCAAGCCTAGCTCATTAATCCTTTGGAACTACGAGGGTTTTTGATTTTTGATTTTTTATCTATTAGACTACATTTATATATTCTTAGTTCATTAATCCTTTGGAACTACGAGGGACGTTGATCTTTGATTTTTTATCTATTAGACTACATTTATATATTCTTAGCTCATTAATCCTTTGGAACTACGAGGGACGTTGATCTTTGATTTTTTATCTATTAGACTACATTTATATATTCTTAGCTCATTAATCCTTTGGAACTACGAGGTACTTTCGTAAATAAAAAATTAGACTATATTTATTTATTCTTTGATTTTATTGTGTAATAGTAAACTTTCTAGAAGTCTATATTTTTCGATAAATGCTAACTACTATTACAAAAATTTGAAAAACACCATTTATATTCTTCCAAAGACAGTACTTCAAAACATGTATAATGTTCAAATCAAAAGGAATTGGTACTTACACCAGATGTCGCTTCTGTCAGCTCTTTCCACAAGTCATTGGTACGGGCATTATCATACTGATATTTTGTAAGAAACATCTGTAATAGAGAAAAAATTTGAATCATAAAACTGATAAACATAACCAAAAGTATTATCGTTACTCTAAGGTTAACAACACTAAATACAGACCCTTTAAGTTCAAAAATCGTAATGCTACATATTTATTGTGTACTATAACCTATGATAGCGCATATCTCGTTTTGGAGAAAGAAGTCAAATAATGCATTCTACATTCTAAAGTCTATGTTTTCTTTAAAATTTACATAAAAGTGGAGATCTGAAAGCCGAGTTATTTTTATTTTAAATGTAACGATTTAATTGTTTTTACTATAATAACCTAAACATCTACTATTAAGTAGTTTCCTCCTTATCATTGACACTGCAAGTACTTTCAAATCGGTAGTTTTTATTGTTATTCTTACTCTAGAAATTTATAACTTGACGAGAATATCTCAGATACACTTATTTAGTTCTTTTCATTACGCTAAACTGCTTGCTTGAAATTATGTAAGTCACAACTTTCGAATAAAAACTTTTGTATCAAAGTAATTAACATCACTAATTAACGCCTATATGTTTCTGATTTTTATCAAATAATAATAAATATTGTTTGATATATATAATCAGTGAAAGTTTTCGAATATCCTAAGCCTAATATGAGGATCAAGATATCAAACTACGTTCCTCCTATGTTCGTTGTACATTCAGCTGTTTTGCGAATGAATTAATAGAGATGAAGAAATTGATTATGAAAGGCACATAAGCAAAAGTTTATATGGAATAATGTTTCGTTTGGAAACCATACGATAATAAACTCAAAATGCATAGAAATGACACCATCTATTAGTTTAAGACGATTAAAATAGAAACAGACAAAATATGTGAATACAGTCCATGAATCTAAGTTACGTACTTGAAAAATAATTTTATATTGGAAATGTGTCGCCATCTATTAACTCATAAAATTCAAAGTACAGAGAAACAAATGAGAGCCACAACATTATGTGTGTATATATATACAGATAGTATTTTTTTCCTTATGACCAAGGACTTTACATAGTTAGTGTTTTATACGTACAAATTGGAAAATGTATTGTTTTGCAAATGCGGGAATTTTTTAATCGTATTCTTTTGTGCTTCTTGGTTTTGAAACTATTATTAAAATTTCTTGGTTTTGAACGTTTGCTGAGTTATGTCACCTCAAATGGGTCAGAGGTAATTTTACTGACTTGTAACGCTTAAATCCGAGGTTCGATTCCCTGCGTTGTACAAAGTGCGGATAACCTACTGTGTAGCTTTGCACTTAAACACACACGCACGCGTGAACTATACAAGAACAACGAAAAAGGTCACAACAAAACCAGATCTTATTTTTTTATTTTTGTTTTCCTTCGCTGAAATAGTAACATTTTAAATGGTAAGTTTGTTCTCGAAGTAATTTACTGTTTGTCTATAAACCTACCGCATTTTAGGATAAGAACTGTAAAGCGATGGGCGTGATCGAGTAGTTAATATGCCTGGACAATGAATCTGAGGAATCACAGTCAACGACCCATTGCCGCAAAAACTGCAGCTTTAGGTCGTGGGTGCGATGTAAGAGAGACGTTCAAATTCCACTATTTAGCAAGACAAAAGTAGAGGAGTTGACGATGGGTGCTGTTCACCAACTGTATACTCTCTAGTCTATCAGTTAAAAAAGTAAGGCTGTTCGCAGATAGCGCTTATGGAGGTTTGAGCGAAATTCTAAAACAAACAGAAACCGTAAAGCCTTTCATGAAGTACTAAAATTCTCAGATATTTACTTTCTTCTACTGTGGATGTATGTGAATAGTAACATTTTGCATGTACTGGGATCCATAACAACCCGGTATAGATTACAAAACTAGAATGAATACATTGGGTGCAATATTTCAGAAGTTACCAACAAAAAAAAAAAAAGAAAAACGTGTAGCTTTAAAGCGAGTCCTACTGACCTAGAAATTTGAGATAAATACACAGGTCGTGAGGTTACGGTGTTAAAGTAATAACAAATGACTTAATCATCTTATACTTTATAGGTAAACTATGTATTTTTAAGGGCAGCCCCGCAGTAATTCACGGGTAAGTTTAAAAATTTATAACTCTAAAATTTGAGGTTTGATCTCTGCGGCTGGCAAACACAGATAACTTCTTGATAGGCTTTGTGCTTAACAGCAACCAAATCTTATTCAAAAACAGTTCTTCAGTAAAAACTTATGGGAATTTATAGAACCGTGTACTTTAGTGCTTGCATCATTTAAAGACATTCACCGAGCCTTTTATTCACGGAAATTGACTGAGAAGAGAGATAAGTTTGTGCGGGAAATTCCTGGTCCAGAAAGAAAAAGCGTTTTCGTGAAAAGATCCAGGATGTGGATGTTTTGAAGTTTGGGTATTTCTTCATGAAATATATTTTAAAAGTTCTAAAGCATTTACACGTTTTCTTTAAGTTAACATAAACAAGTCTATTAACAACTGGAGTTATTACAAGTCACGTTAACTGTTCACGTACGAACATAAATAAAACTAATTGCCCAACAAGTTATGAAAGTATATTGAACAGTTGTTTTGTGTTTACACTAGATCTGCGTACCTATTAGTTTATTCCACATTTAAAATTATATTTTCTAAATTTTGTTTTCCGCTGAAGAATATTAAGGTATATATATATAAATAATATATATATATATATATATATATATATATAACTAGTATTTATTGACAAGCGCGTTATCGCGTTGGGTTGCAGATCGAGGGATTCAAGGCTCGATACGTGATATCGCTGAACCGATGCCGGTTTTGTAGCTGTCAAAGTATTATAAAAGTGACAGTCAATCATTTTATGTGGCCTCTGGTTAGTAATTCAAAATTAGAGATGCCTAAATTCTAAGTCTCTGACCTGGCATACCGATAAGGTACCATTCGGTTTGAAAATTATAATTACCTTTTCATACACAAAAATATAAATTATGTTTTATCAGTTTCACACGTCTGCTTCAAGAAATAAACTGTGTGCTTCAGTTTAAGTATTTTTTTTATTTTTTAGCTACTTGAACATTTTAAAATTACGCAACGAACTTTCATTTAAAACTAAAATATTGTCACTGAAATTCGACTGATTTCTTTATACAAACTATTTCAATAATTGTACAGATGCTCTTTCTCAAAACGAAAAAGACGCACGTTAGACCTGTGTTTGACTTTCTGTTTTGGAGCTGTCGTCCCCAGTGGGTCAGAGTTAAGTTTAGGGCATCACAATTCTCAAATCTGTGGTTCGATTTCCCATAGTAGACAGAACATAAATAGTCAATTATGTAGCTTTGCGCTGAAACAAACAAACAAATTCAGCGTTGGCGAGCCTGGTTAGGATCCGTGCAATACCACAGAATATTCTTTATATTTTAAGCTTTGAGTGCGTTATGTGAGTAACAGTCAATCCCTTAGCATGGCTAGTGAGTGGTAGGGTGCTGCTGACTGGCTATTTTCTCTCCGGTCAGTAGTTCTAAATTAGGAACATTATGAGATAGCCTTAGTAGTTTTTCCATAAATACGGAATACAAAAATAATAAAAAATGAAGCAATACAAATTTACGTTTTTCAGGACATGTACGAAATAACTGAAAGAGCTTATGAATTTGATCTACTAAGAGATGCCCGTTAAATGAGGAACTTAATTAAGAAATATACTATGGTGTCATAAAAATCAAATAATTTAATAATGTGCTCAGAACACCCTAAAAGACGTAAAATAAAAAGAAAAGTATTACGTACAGTGGAACAACATGATATTGGTGTTTTAGATAACCTTGCGTAGAACTACAAATACAATAAATAGATTTGATCTTCTCGGTTTAATCACACGAAGTTATAAAGAATAAGAAAAGCATCATTAAAGGCTAACGCTGATTCTGTACTGTAGAATTTCTTGAATCTGAACCGGATGGAGAGAAACATGGCGTCCTTTTTGATTTACGTATACAATGCCAGTAACTTATGCTCACACGTTTATTAGCATTTGTTTTTAAAATGTAAATCCTGTTTGACATGAAACGCTGGAATAATATTTTAATGCACGATAAACGTGGTGCAACCATGTAATTCTCTTACTCTGATGGTATTGTAATTGACACTGTAGCTGAAGTTCAAGGATCGTACTTCTGAAACACAAGTAAAATATATATATATATATACTATTAATATTATTTACAAATACTGTATGTTATAGCTAGTTTTCAATAAACAAACTTACAGTGACACCCTTCCTGAAAGGTTCTTTTCCAACAAAATATTCCAGCATGCGAAGAACTGATGCTCCCTGTAAAAAATAAATAAATAAATAATATATATATATATCATAAATAGGATGGATACAAAATTAGATATTCAGACAACAAAACAAAAAACAGTAATGAAGACACGTCGGCAGTATTCAGCTGCTAAATTAATTCAGTACTAAAATGAGACACATAAACACCAACTCTAATACAACATCAACCAACAAAAAGCAGCAATAAAGACATATTGATTGTATTCAGTCATTAAAATAATTGAGTACTATACATTGACGTGTAAATACCATCCATGGTACATTATCAAAAAACAAGGCAGCAATAAAGCTAAGCGGCCTCTATTCAGTTACTAGAATAATTCAATATTACAGGGAGATGTATAAATTTCAGTCGTGGTGAATTAACAAACAAAACCAGCAACAAAGACTTCCGGATTGTATTCGGTAACTAGAACAGTTTAGTACTACACAGATATATGTGTGTGTGTGTGTGTGTGTGTACACTAGCCACGGTACGATAAGAACAACAACAACAAAACGACAACAAAGCCTTGCGGGCTGTATTCAGTTACTAGAACAGTTTAGTACTACACAGATATATATATATATATGGAAATACTAGCCACGGTACGATAATAACAACAACAACAAAACGACAACAAAGACTTGTGGGTTGTATTCAGTTGCTTAAATAGTTCAATACTACACTGAGACGTATAAATACCAGCTATGGTACACCACGAACAAACAAATGGCAGGAATATATAATTTACTCACTTTACAGAGACGTTTAATAACACAGGCTTGTGATGGTTTTATTCTCTTGAAATGTTTACATGTTCTACAGTAATTCCTATACGCTGAATCCGAAAATGATATCCATTTTGCTCCATCACGTACAAATTTTTCACATAACGTCATAACGCAATGCATTAAAGAAAGACCACAACACGCAGTTTGAGACTAAAAGGCGTAGATTTCACAAATAAAATCAGGATGAATGAGTATGCATATTCGTTTGACATCACTGTTCTTTCCTTTTCTTCAGTTTGTTTGTATTTTTGTTAACAAACATAATAACAAAAAATGTTTTGATCTAAGTAAGAGTTTTATTTTCTTCCCAATTTGTAAGAAATCCTTACGTTATATAAAAAAATTAATATTATTTTCGAAATTTGCGTAGCTGAATTGTGGAAAATCCGTTATCAAAACCAAAAAACTTTTATGAAGGTTAAATTCGCAGGCGTGCGTTATCAGTGGTGATATAGGAATACTTCATGTTCGACAAATGATTATGATTTAGTAACGAAAAGAGACAACAACGAGAAAATAAAACAAATTTCAGATATATATAAGTATTTACCTATGAGTTCATAGTATAATGTTCACATAACAAACATTTTGAGTTTAAAGACTTTAAATGCGTGATTAAAGAGAAACAGTAAAGAAAGACATTTTTGTTGTATAAATTAGCTTCTGCGTTTTAGGTTTCATACTTAACGAACCTTGCTGTATGAAATGGTATCAAATATTTCTGTTATCTCATCAGGGTGGTTAACAATTTGGACAATGGGATGAGAACTTAGAGTTGCATCCAGATGCATCACTGGCTGAAGATCAATGGTTATGAACTGATCCTCCTGGATAACCAAAGTAAAAAAAAAAATGAGTATTAAATCTACATATCAAACTGTATATCAAAAATCCATAAAAAGGATATTCTAACAGATGTTAAGACTAAAACGAGACATAAAAAATACGTTTTTTATGTATTTATACTTCAAGAATTCGAAAAGTAATATAATTTACAAACAACATTTTACTGTATTTCCACTACATACCAAATACAAATACTTGATGCATATGTTACCAAATTTTTATTAAGCGATTCCTATGTGATAGTAACACACTTATAACCTATTTTGTAATTCTATCTTTCACACTGTGTTAATATAGACATTAATTTGTGTTTATTTTTTTAACTTGTTCTGTTTTGTTTTTTTTGATATCCCAAAGATAGCTTAAAATAGCGACAACTAAGGGCAAAAATAGCTAAAATATGGCTAAGATGATGTGTCGCTCTTACTGAAAAATGAGATGATTATACATCCTCAAATGTAAATGTAGCTAGAATTGAAACAAAATCAAGTAACGTTAAAGCTTTCTTAACACACCTAGAATATCTATCATAATGTAAACATTTCAAAACCGCTTGACGTTATATAATAGTAGAAACATTTCTGGACAAATATTGTTTAGAATTTTATTTCCAGTTTGTAGTTTTATTACAACATTGTACTCTAAGAGTTAACTGGAGTATTACACGCGTATCTGATTATATTGCAAATGAAAATTACTCGAGTTTGAATTTTTTTTTATGTACAATACAGGTGTTAAACCTGTCTCGTTGATAATAAACATAACCTGACGGACATACACAGAGGCGACCAATATCAGCAGAATAAATATAATTGCGTAATTAGGAAACCGCTTACTTACTATGTCCCATGTTGGCTCTACATGTTTCATACCCTTGTATTCTATGTAGCTAGCAAACCCTTCGTTTAGCCACAGGTCGTCCCACCACTTCATGGTTACTAAGTTACCGAACCACTGCCAGAAACAGACAAAGAAAATTAATTATATTGCAGAAAACAAGTCGAATGTTGTTATTTTTGGCACTCTGACAATAATAAATAGATATGAGAGGAGGAAAACTCAAACTTGATAGCAAATAATGAATATCACATTTTATTATTACATTCAAAATTGCATAATAAAAACAGAGTATGAAAAAATTTAAAGGTCTTGAATTTAGTCGTTACACAATACTATGATATCCATTATATCTATTTATGAAGATAAATTATTAAGCAATACGATATAATATTTTGAACGTATATAAACATAAAATGTGATATTTGAATTACTTGTAATGCCTTAGATCTATAGCTGTGTCTCCCACAAATATTTCAAACACGAACTTCAATCTAATGAATAAAAACCTTCGCTTGAAATGCATGACGCTAAGGTGTCGAACCACAAGCGAACATTATTGTAAAGCCCATCATTTATTTCAGTACTAAATAGGACATACGTCATGCATTAATAATTAGAACATGTACTTACTAGTAGCTTGAGTACAAAAGAAACCCAGCTGTTCACTTTAATGAGTGGTTTCCTTACCATGTGCGCCATCTCGTGTGCTATTACAGCTACTATCCGTTGTTTGTTCTGGGGGCTAGACACATGAGGGTCATAGAGCAGATTTGTCTCCCTGAAAGTAATCACTCCCCAGTGTTCCATCGCTCCAGAGACAAAGTCAGGAATAGCAACCATATCTGAAATATAAAAACCACAGAACTACAGGAGTAAATTCCTATTACTATATGTCTTTTAGTGAAATAAGACATTGAAGGAAAGCGTGGATTAAAACCAGAATTTTGCATACCCCATGAAGTTTAAAGACAATGGCATTCTTTAAAATATTTGATGACTGTTTTATGTTATTATGGCACAGAGTACAGATTCTGAGTTTTATTTCATTTCGTTTTTCTATCCATTTGATCAATTAATTTTCTATAATTAATTGTAAGCTACACACGTATGAAATACAAATATTAATTATTGTGGATTTTAAAACACGATTATAATTCTTCTCACAGATATTAAATTGAAACCTATAACTTTTGACAAAGTTAACACAGTTGTTCAAAAGTCAAGCGTCATATTTGAAGCTCGTAACAAAAACATCAGAACAAGTATAAATATGGTTTATTTTCTTCTCACAATTTAGAAAGTACAACTATACATAAAAATGCTTCTCTAATCTTCAATTAGAAATGAAGAACGTAACTTTTAAATATACCATCAGTTATTTGGGAAATAAAACCCACCTTGTTTCGGTAGAGGATAATCCAATTGAAAGTAGTCCTCGTAATGATTTAGAATTCTAACACCAACGTCTAAGGCGTATTTAGTTTTCTCTACTTGGTCAGGGGTGGCGTATACACGAAACTGAACAACAAGACGTGTTTATTATTAACACTACACGAATATTTCATTGGCTTATTATTGCTAGGTTGATGTTAAGCATTTAGTGGCAAAGACAGTAATTTTGATTATGTGATATTTTTCTTCAAACCGTGGGTAATACACATCATCCTATCCTAAACTGTTATATGTTTGAAGAGTTTATTTTGTATACAGATTGAGACTAAGAAAAAATACTGTTAATTCAACTAACTGAAAAATATAGGATAATAGATTTATTCTGTAGTTGCATTACAATTATAATTCAAACAATTTTAAAATTAATGTTAAGGTATTTTATTGCAAAACGCACAGTACATGATCTTTAAAAAATATAATTTATAATGCAAACCAAACTAACGCTGGGTAGAATATCAATACGTTCAAATACAATAATAAGAAATGGTGACATTTAATTATGAGGTTCAAATACATAAATTTAATACATCCAATACTTTCCAATACACCCGTCAAAAAATAAGTATCTATGAGATTGTCCTTTATACGTGTAAACATAAGTATTCAAGTTGTGGTAGCCCATTCGCTGAAGGAACGTTTATCTAGATTTAAAGTTTAACACCAAAATTGGAAGTCAATCGAACATAAATTACCACGTTTTTTTATCATAACAACATCCAGCAAACGATGAAAAGTATTAAAATTGCTCTTCAAAGATAATTTAGTATTAGAGCTTTCGAAAAATACAATTATTTGTGCTTATCGGTTCACCATTTGCTGAGAAATCTTCATTTGAAAATGAGTTCTTACTCCAAATTTTGTCAAGACTTTGGTGAAAGTCCGTTGTGTTTTGCAAAATAATTTACCTACGATAGTTCTATTTCAATGCTAAACTATTCAATATGTACTGGTACTCGTAGTAACTCAAGTCTCATTTGAAAAGTGCAAGGTTAGAAGGTATGATGCTTACTATGTATGAAACAACTGCATCTTGAATGCAGTAATGATGGGTTCCTGTTAAAAATACAATGATCAAAAAAAGAGGTCAACTAAAAACGTTAGAATTCAATCAAAAGAAGGTAAAAAATTTAAATCAGAAAGAATATTGTACTTTGTTTTTCTAATTATAGATATTTTCATTGTCTTAAGTCATTCATTGATTGACAGACTTAGATATGATTGATCAGACCTCAACCAACGAAATTCATTAGAATAGTTGAGGAACATTTAATGTTGTTTCTACTAATTGCACAGAGTGTGCTAGATATGATGAACATTTTTAAAACCATTCTAACAATGCAACTCAATGTTAAAAAGAATGGCCCTCAGTAAAAGTAACCTTGCTTTGAGTAGACTTTTCATCAACACTAAAATAACATTTTGCGAGTTCCTTTGCATTTTTTGAAACAACAGATCGAAACTTCAAACTTATAAAAAGTCGTGTATAGGAATTAGTCTAGCGTATTTTATCTTGTTCAATGTAGACCTCAAAACGTGACAATTTCTGTACAATCAACTCACGATTTTCGATTAAATAACCATTTCAGTTATTATAACTCATGCTTAGGAGGATCAGCTGTGTAAATGTAAAGATGATTTTAACTAATCATATGTATTATTATAATTCAAGTACTTGAAAATAATCTATATAGATGTCCAGTTTATTTTAAATAATCATGTGTATTATTGTAGTTCAAGTACTTGAAGATAATGTATATAGATATGAAGTTTATTTTAAATAATCATTTGTATTATTGTAGCTCGTGTGTTGAAAAATCATTTGTGCAGATATAAAGTTTATTTTGAGTAACCAATCAATTTAATGTTCCTCATTGTAACTTCTAGAAATAGTTCCCTGGTAGGTCAGAGATAAGTTTACCGAGTTGCAACGGTAAAATCCGGGGTTACATTCCCCGTTTAGTACAAAGTGCAGATAGCCTATTGTGTAGCTTTGCGCTAATTCTGCAAAAACACCAACGTATATAAACAAAATCTCATTTATAAAAATAAATTATGTTTTTCTGCTGAATAACCCAGAAGAATGAATTAGCAGCAACGAAGCTATATATTATTCAAATCCTATATAAGTATAGATTTACTGTAATGAGTATTATAATTCAATTTAAAATACCATACATATACAGTGAACATTTGAATGGAGGTGTACGGATCTGTGCTGGAGAAACGTGTATGCATTTAAAACTCTCGAATGAACACCTGATTGGTTGTATAACATGCTTTAGATATTTACTATGCTACTTCTAGAATACAGTCGCATATCGTTTGGCAGAGAAACGCTTGAATACTTATAAGTTTATTGTCTGGTGCGTTGGTTTTATTGTTATTTCTTTAGAAGACTATCATGTTTGAATGTGAAACATTTAGTGCACGAGTATCATTGAATAAACGGAGGCTCTGCCAATCACACAAACATAAATTTTCTGTAGTCGTGCATATTTCACTAGGGAACTTTATGAGGTAATTTCAGTTACTGCAATATATGATAATACATGTGGGTAAAATATCTTATATGAAATAACTCTTGGAAATACGTTTGGATGCAAATAGGTTGCTGTAAGAACATCGGGGGGGGTCTAAATATTTTAAATATGTCTTTTATTTCAGCTCTCCTTTTTAGGGCTCATCTGAACTGTATTAAGTCCTCTACTAAAAGATATAAGCATATAAAGACATTTTGTTTGACAACTGTTTGAAAAACTTCAAGATCTTCATTGGTGTAGAGTAAGTCCTCCTGTGGTCCTTCTTCGCCAAACATAGGAGGCGCAATAAAGATTTTTTGTTTGTTTGTAGTTTTATAATTAAACTTGAAATAATTAATTTTCTCGTTTCATTATTTTTAATAGAACTTGAAAAGCGTACGGTTTATCAAAAAGTATATGCAATATCCAGTGTCGTGGAGGCTTTTCGCCTAATACCAAGGCTCATCAAGCGGCTGAGATATGAATAAATCGACTGTGCTTGAGACGTTATTTATATTATCAAATTGCATGAACAACAACTGTTGTGATAAGAACTACATTAAGTTAGTGAGGTGTAATTTTCTTGTTAATCTTTTGCCCATCAGTGGTTGAACGGTAAGCTTAAAATCAGGTTTAGATATCCGCGGTGGTGAGAGCACAGGAAACTCATTGTGTAGCTTTGTGCTTATCAACAAATATACAAAAATTGATTTTATATGAGTCAGTTACAAATCGTAATTATAGATAAGAATTAATAACACTATATTATTACTTATTGTTTACTATTACCATTTGCTTTTACTTGAATTGACTTTACCCATAATTCAGAAGAACTAGCGAACCAGTAAGCTAGTCTTCTTTTTTTCCTAAAGCTTGTCAAGCAACTACAGCGTCAACGGGAGAAGGTTACCTTTGTAATTCTAAGAACTTCTGAGCGAAAATAAAGGATAAGGTGTATCAACAGTTCAAACACACTATATCTGCCATATCCAGTGCCAACGAGGTATTTCACAATACCAAAACTCATCAGTCCGTCTGGAATACGACAAACACAGTAGTGGTTGAGACTATCAAACAATGGATTCCCACTTTTATATCTGGTACACTAACGGAAAGGCATAGCAAGTTAAAACTACCAACTGCAGATTGATAGACAGACAGATAGATAGATATTAATTCCGTTCTTAATTCTGAAGATAGGATAAATCTAAATGATTAATAATGGTATATATTAGTATATTTAAATATTCAGACACATACCGGCTTATTCTTCGCTGTGGAAGACTCTTTATAGCCAAAATCAGACACGATGAAGCATGCTAAATACGTAACCATTTCAACTGATTTCTCAAACGTTGTGACCATCAGCCCGTCATTTCTTGGATGTTGGCTCTGTGGAAATTTTGCGGTGAAAATTAGTATGATATTTTCAATTAAGCCGTTAATTTCGTGTAAAACACATAAATTATATTTTCAAAATGTGAAATTTCAAGTAACTTCCACAATTTTCTAAGATGATCAACAATCTTCTAAATCAAATTTTCCTCCTGCTTACAATGAAACTGCTATCCTAAATGTTTGAGATAATGAAAGACGTAAGATGTCTTGTAGAAACGTGTTATGGGCCATAAATTCCATTAAAATGTTAAAAAGTAGTTTAATTTAAATTAAATAAATTTGTTAATTCTTTTTGTGTCAACAAAAACATTATACGACACCAAATTCATGATATTAAGTAACCAAACTATTTCTTTAAGTCACCAGAGTCATTCTATTGTTACCAAAGTCATTCTAATATATTGGTATCACGCAGAAATAATAACTGGTGCTCTAATGTTGATGTTGGTTTCAGCTTTGGAGAAGATAACCAGTAAGTTGTGTTTTAATTTAAGTTAAAGCAATGAAGAAGTTGTAACATCACAAAATCTGGACTTTAGTTCTCTCAAGTTTTATAAATCAAAATCAGCGTTTCAAGATATGGATTAGTTTTAAAAGTTTGCGAATAACTAGTGGTACAATTCTTTCATTAGCTTATAGGTATGTTTTGAAGCTAAATGTATGATTTAGAGTACCTTTAACTTGATGGCATTGTCGAGATTTAGAAAGTAGTGTCTGAAAACGTTTTATATTCATGTACTATGTTTGTCATCTTGCTTAGAACACACAGTTCTTGGAGCTGAAATGAATGAAGTCTATTGGTCCGGCATGGCCATGTGGTTAGGGCGCTCGATTCATAATTTGCGGATCGCGTGTTCGAATCCCCATTCCACCAAACATGCTCGTCCTTTCGGCCTTGAGAGCGTTATACTGTGACGATCAATTCCACTATTCATTGGTAAAAGAGTAGCCCGAGAGTTGGCGGTGGGTGATGATGACTAGCTGCCTTCTCTCTAGTATTTTACTGCTAAATTAGGGACATCTAGCGTAGATAGCTCTCGTGTAGCTTTGCGTGGAATTCAAACCAATTATGTCTATTTTAATATTATGATAACATTCCAACTGATAAAAACAATCACACAAATAGACGTTATGAACGCAATAAACTCCACTAAAAACAAAGCCCTAGGAGAAGTCAGCATACAGGTTGTCCTCCTTAAAAAGGCACTCAAAGATTGTATGAACACCTAACAGCATTATTTAACCTATCTCTGAACTCTGGATACATCCCGGTTTCTTGGAAGTAAGCGATTGCACTAATGTTCCATAAACCAAACAACTACCGCCCGATCATTCTGATTGGCTGTGAAGGGAAAATTCTGGAAAAAATAATTGGAAACAGACTTTCAAATTATCTAGAAGAAACCTCAAAATTACCGTAAATCCAAAATGGATTTATGAAATATAGACAAACAATTGACCACTTGGTCAGATTAACATAAACCC